ACTTGTGATATTACGACACCTGTATGCTTTAGTGCTTAGCAGTATAATTACATTATATGTTCTATTATTTTGTTCATGCTCTGACATGGGAAACCAAGGAGGAAAGCGTGATCCCCATTATATTGGCTGCTCCTGCACTTACACCCCTCCAGTTCCTCATGCTCTCCACCACCCTCTCACTCCCACTTCATTACTGAAGTATCACCCCACCTCCTCCCCTCCTTGCAGACCATCCCCCTTAGGGTCAGGCCACACTCCCTCTTCGGAATCCTAAATCTCTGCAAGGCGTGCCTCATCTTAAACGACTATCCCTGGAATACTCTTATCGTAATGCAGCCCTGATACCGTTACCCTTATTCATTTATAACGTGAACTCTCCTACATATTCATAGGTTGATAGATATGCGAAACTACACCATTTTTCTTTTCGTACCGTCTTGTCACTTTGAACGTTCCTCCCCGTATACTCATTCAGCTCCCATGCAAGCATCTCTAATTATATGGACCCATGCTCCAGTCCCACTGGGCTTAACCTCCACTTACTACAGTACATTCCATTCTTCTTACATAGTCCTATATAATGCTTTCTCACCCCTAGACCTCACTGCCGATTCCAAGGTTGCCCTAAATATTCCTCCTTCTCTCTCGGCCTCCTCTACCTTAACTCCTCCTAAAACTTCTTATGTTACCTTCTCCCTCAAGCGGGTCACTCTGAATGCTAAAAGTCTCAACATACCAGCCAAGCGTTCACAACTCCTAACCAACATGAGCAGTATGAAAGCCGATATCGTTTTCCTGCAAGAGACCAATTTCTGATCTAATGCGAAAACAATACCCCGGAAGTCTCACCCTTGATGCAATGAGAAGTCCGCAAATGTGTTGTCTGGGGAAAACTCATCTCATTGGCCTCAGCGGTGAAGCGTGACAAACAGGTGCGCCTAAAGGAACTATTTTCCAAACTCAATATCCTGGAAGTACAACATAAACGTACACTTGGCAGACAGGTTCTCCAGGAACTCAATGAGACCCGCACCCTCCTTCTGGAGGAGATGGGGTGAAACCTCCGTCGAAAATACATCTTGTCACAAAAATTATTTTACGAACACGGAAATAAAAGCGGTCACCTATTAGCCCAAGCACTCTGCTCCAAGAAAGCTAAGGCGACAGTAGACCATCTTCGATCGAATAACGGAAAGCTACTAGAAAATAGCGCAGACATCGCACGAGAATTAAAAAAATTTTATTCTGCCTTATATAGAACCTTCCCTCGATGGAGATACCCCTTCTCTCTCCCTCTTCCAGATCAACTCTCTTGAGAGAGTTCTTGAATAAACATTGCCCTAAATCTATCACTCCCTCTATCGCTAAAAAACTAGACCATCCTGTCTCAATAAAAGAATGGGAACTCCAGCAACTCAAGCCAGGTAACAGCCCTGGACCCAATGGCCTCACTACCACTTACTATAAAACATTTTTCAAATGTTATTTCCTCACCCTTTTTAAGTGCCTTTAACTCTCTTTCACCCTCTGTTCCTCTCACTGCCCACATAGCCGTTATACCCAAAGCAGGCAAAGACACCACTCAAGCCGCACATCACCGGAAGATCTCGCTCCTCAATGTGGACATCAAGATCTTTGCCAAAATTATAGCCTCCCGCCTACTCCCTCTCCTCCCATCAATTATTTCAACAGACCAGGTGGGCTTTATTACCAGACGAGAAGCCAGGAAAACTACCAAAGCCATTAATTTACACCACCTCCTGATCTCCATCAACCAAAAGGCCTTTTTCCTCTCGATGGATGCAGAGAAGGCGTTCGACAGGGTCTCATGGGATTACATGGAAACAGTTCTCCAGACCATGGGTCTCAGCATCCATATGCTGACTTTTTAAATGTCCTTATTTGCCCCACCATCTGCACAAGTTCGAGTCAGTAACACCCTGTAGGACGCATTCTCCATCCACAACAGCACCAGGCAGGGGTGCCCGCTCTCCCCTATCCTCTTCGTTCGGACACTGGAACCCTTTTTACGCTGTCTCAGACAGAACCCCACAATTAGAGGAATTTGCTCTGCTGGCCAGGAATACAAACTTGCAGAGTTCGCCGATGACATTCTGTTATTTCTCTCAGCACCTAACACTGCTTTCCCTGACCTCCTAGCAGAATTCCAACATTTTCACTCCCTATCTAACCTCAAAATAAACTTATAAACTTAATGTAACCCTTCCATCTCAAGATGTGGCCCAATGCCAGCAGAACTTTCCCTTTCTCTGGAAACAACTTCCTACACATCTACAGGATTTATACTCCAAGAATTACCTGCCTGTTCTGTGGGACTTATCGAGCAGCCATCCTCAAAATGAATGCCCTCCCACGACTCTTCTACCTGCTACAGACAATACCCATTCTCCTTCCCCGATCTTTCCTGCTCTCTTACAGGACCCTATGTTCTGGCTTTCTTTGAAACAACCGTAGACCAAGAATCAGCTATAAGAGATTGGCTCTACCCAAACACAAAGAGGGAATAGGTTTACCTGATCTCCAACACCATTACCACGCATGCCACCTTTCTAGAATCGTTGATTGGCACCTCCATGATACCATCAAAAATTGGGTCATTCTTGAAGCCTCATTTATACCCACACCTCTGGCATCCTTGCCATGGCTCCATGCCCGTCATGTCCCTCCTGAAGCGAAATCCCACCCCCTCATTTCTCCCACTCTTTGTACTTTCAGCGCCGTGTGCAAGACCACCAAGTCCTTTTCATCAGTCCCACTCACCTCAATACGGCAAAATCCCGACTTCCCACCGGGTTTCCACTCGTAATTTCTACAAGACCACTGGCCCTCCAATCGGGTCCTAGCCCACAAATTCTTCAACAGAAACAAACTCCTCTCGCAGGAACAACTTTCATCTCGTTTGGGAAAAACTCCCATTCCTCTGTGGCTATTTCTACTATTATTGCATTATTTATGCTCCCTTGACAAAGATCGGTCAGTCTCTAGGCCTCTAACCTCGTTTGAGAAGCTGTGTTCAAAAAAGTCTCCACAAAGCCACTTGATTTCCTCCATCCACTCCCAGGTGCTTTCCGACCAACCCTCTAACAGTGGCACAGCCTGCGCAACATGGGAGAGAGACCTATCCAATTCTTTCACCAAAGACAATTGGGAACGAATACACTTGAACATACTCAAGGGTTCAGTGAACATGTCCACTCAGGAAAATGGATATAAGGTCCAATCGCGATGGTACCACACCCTGGTTCTCCTTCACAAATTTCACTCAGATATCCCTGATACCTGTTGGAGATGTGGGAACAACTTAGGGACCCTTCTACATATTTGGTGGTCATGCCCCCGACTCCAACCTTACTGGTCTGAGGTGCATCGAATAATCCAACGAGTAACTACCCACACCCTAGATTTCATGACTGCTCAGTTCCTACTGCATCATTCTTCCCTACCCCAGTTAGTCTACTTCAAGTCCCTGGCCATGCAGCGAAACAGTGTCTCCCGATTTACTGGAGCTCAACCCACCTCCCCCGACCCCCAACCATCAGAGAATGTATCCACAAACTGGCTGAGAAGGAAGAACTAATCTAATCTAATCTATATAGCCCATGACTCCTCTGCCAAATTCGCAGCTAAATGGGCACGTTGGTCACACTTCCAGACGACAGCAGAATTCACCCTTCTGACTAAACCTCCTCCCTCCTAACTCCCACATTGCTGTCAACTGTGGCACTTTCTTCATCTCTGGCAGATCCGCCCGGGCATCAGATCAGAGATCACCTATCCTCTTCCTGAACCAGGAGCAGGAGTAAGAGACAGACATCACCACCTCCCGACCCCCTCCCCTTGCTCAAAATCTCCTATCCCCCCTTTTTTTAACCCCTCATTCATGCATTACTCCACCAACTTCCCATCTTTAACAGCCCCTTTTCATTACGCCCCCTTTACAAGTTTTAGCGTCCCCTGTTTGCACGGACCTTAACAGCTCCGCTTTGTCAGAGTCATAAGGAGATCTAGCCCACCTCGGACCGCATACCCTCCACAATGCCCCCCTACCCATGACCCTCCCCCAGTCCAGTACTTATAGATGTAAGACCCCGACGATATCGCTCCATATATCCACTCACATGAGCCCAACCCTCTCCCCTTCCCTTCTAGGCTCACACTCTCCTCTTACCCTACCTAGTTCTCTCACGGGGCTCAACCACGCCAGCTTGCGTATTTATGTGCTAAAGTTTATGATTTGTTTTTGATTTGTTCTCATTGCACTTGCTAGATGTTCCTATCAATATATTGCTTGTAGGCAGCCCATGTTTATCACTGTAAAGTATTTATCTTCCCAATAAATCTTTTGTGGAAAAAAAAATAAATATACATGCGCTGCAGCGCGAAAGCAGCCTTAAGCAACATTCCTGTGAATTTAGGTGACCTTTTGCTGCAACAAGTGTTACAATTATCAAGACCTGTGTTTTTCCAAGGCAGAACAGTGCAGGTCTCTGTACACAGCTCTACAATAAAGGTACCCATTGATTTTTCATGATTTGATGGAAATGATTCCAGTGTACTAAGTTCAGAGCCTGGTGAAAACTGAAGACTCACCCAAACAAAATGAACAACTGTTTTCCCTTGAGGAAATTTACTTTTTTTGCAGTGCAGAAAAATGCAGATCTCCACAAAAGTATGAATGAGCAATAAGTGTAATGCTAGATGAAAGGAAAAAGACCAACATATTTAGGTGAATTTATCAAAACTGAAGTTGCTGTGCATGGCAATCGGCTTCTAGCTTCAGCTTGTTCAGTTAAACTTTGAAAATAAAAGATAGAAGCTGAATGGTTGTCATGCACAGCTGCTCCAGATTCTGGCAGCACCAGTTTTGATAAATTTACCACCTTGTTTTTGTAGGTCTACAACTCCTTATACAAACGGTTGTCAGCTGTTTTTCAGCATATGGTCGTATAGCAGTTACAATATTTGAAAGTTCTACTCACCATTGTGTAATTGTGGGCCACTTTGTGCAAATCCATACATCCTTGCGCATCAGCAAAAGAGCGAATTCCCAGGCAGTTGGAAGGGTGTAGCTGCTTCATTAGAAACTTACAGCAAGCTTCAACTACCTGTGAGAGTTGTAGAAGGCAAGCTGTGGATAGCAGGCTTTCTATGTTTTCTTCTTTTAATTCCAGACGGCCTATCAAGACAAACATTGCCACTAAGTAAAAGCTGAAACCAGCTTAGTTTAGCCATCTACTTTAGGATCAGACAGCAACAAACAAAGATGAAAAATAAATTAAAAAAAGACTAAAATAATAAAAAAAAATAAATAATAATTCCACCATGAAACAAAATATACCTATTTAGAACAGTCATTAGAATAGTCACTGTATTTTTCTTTTCTATTTTATGAGGCCAGAGATGCTTGGAGGATGACACCACAAAAGTCTACAGGAGACCACTGCCTGTGGCGCAGCCAGCGAACAGAAAGCTTTCGGCTCAGGATGTAATCAAATAGCGGAGGTTGTAATCTGTGCCAAGTATGCATCTAGGTGGGGTGGAGGTTAGCATAAGTCAGGGAAGAGGGTGAAAAAGGACAAGTATACTTATCCTTCATGGAGTGATTACCATCAAAATTCTGATTACTTGCAAATATTAGTTGTGTCATCTGCCTGCTCTTTGGACAACTAATCATCATTACACTGATGATTCACTGACATATGAACAAGCAGGCCATAGGGAAAGCTGAAACAGTGTAAAGCGTGCTTATGTTGTGTGACAGAGGTGAGTAAATTACCTGGCCAGAATTACAATTTGTTTACCATAAAAACAGCTCACATATATTATTATAACTCTGTCTGGAGTTCCACTTTAAAATGCCCACAGTGCCTGTTCTCCATTTAATGTGCTCTTTTCCATGCCTTTCAATGAATATTCCGATTTCCAAAACAAACAGAAAAAAAATCCTCAATATCTATGGGTTTTGATACACTTTGAGAGTCTGTTCTTACCAGTGGCCACTGGCGTTCACTGTGAAGAAAGCTGTGCTTATTTGCTGTAAATGATTCTTTGCACTGTTTACTTCTTTTCTTTTGAACTTTAATGAAATGGCACAATAAATGCATCGGGCAAGGATGTCCAGCACAGCCCAACACACATAGTGTGAACGAGCTCTAAGCCATCATCACCATCCACAAAGAAGATGTGTACCCTGGGCCATGCCAGAATAAAGATGCCACTATGCCTCAAGACAGACAAATGAAGGCAACATCAGGGAAGGTACTGTGATATCTTTGAGAAGTAAAAATACTTGCGTTACACTTAAATGTTACTTAGCATGCATGGAAACAACATAACTAAATGTTGGGTCCACTTTCAATCAGAGTATTCGGATGCCTATAAAAACCTGTCTGGTTCTCCTTAAGAAGCCAGGAAAGATAAATATCTCTCTTTAATCTTAATGGATAATAAACTTTAATCTAGTAGCCAACAACAATTTTATAATTGCTTTGGAGATTTGGCCAGGTGTATGTTAAATCCAATATGTTCCTGTTAAGAAAAAATATATATATTTAGATGCATGCACCAGGGCAGAAATAATACATTTGACGGATCACTGAACCAAAATTCAAATTATGATTTAACGGTCTTTGCTTCTTAAGGTGAGGGAGTGAAAGGAGTTTCAGCTAAAGACTTATTAATAAACAGGTGCAGCTAAGGTTAACCCACTTACATGATGTGATACACCAGAATTAACATATTCAGAAACCTCAAAAGGGATAGAACAGCCTGTAATTATATGCCAGCAGCAGACAGGCAAGTCAAAGCTCCTGAGAAAACAATGTGCATTAAGTGCATTCAAAGCAAAGGCTGCCACACAAGTCTGGCTCGGTGACCTATTTTTGTTATACTCTAAGATCTGCAGTTTTCATGCATGACCTTGAGCACAAATGGCTATATTCTGATTGAAGAACCTAAAATAAAAAAAAGTCCATATAAATTAAACAATTGTATGACTGTGGCAAAGTAAAAAAGGATAATAATTAGTGGTGCACTGAAATAGAAATTCTGGTGCCGAAACCAAAAATTCAAAATGCACTTGGCCGAAAACTGAAACCGAGACGCGCAGTTTTTAAAAATGAATATTTTTTTTTGGAAAAAAATAAACTTTGATTAAAAAACACAATATATACCCCAATTGTTTTGTAAAATATTACGGCGAGTAAATAGATACCCAACATGTCACGCTTTAAAATTGCCCACGCTCGTGGAATGGCATGAAACTGTGGTACTTAAAAATCTCCATGGGTGATGCTTTTAAAAATTTCTACAGGTTAGCAGTGTAAAGTTACAAAGGAGGTCTAGAGCAAGAATTATTGCTCTTGCTCCGAACACCATTTACATTTGCGTTCACCACTACATACGCACGGGGGGGGGATGGGGGCATTTTAAACTTTTTTTAAAAAATATATTTAATGTTTTTTTTTTTTTTGCACTGTTCCTTTTAAAAAAAATTGTAATCACTTTTATTCTTATCACAAGAAATGCATGCATCCCTTGTGATAGGAATAATTGATGACGTCGGTGTGACGAAACCGGTTGGGCGTAGCCTACTTGATGTGGACGTTAGAGAGCCTTGCTGGTCTGTGCTGTATGGGAGAGATCTGCGGTGAGCGTTAACTGTATCTCAACCCTTTTTTGCGATTGAAGCTGGTGTCTGTTGGACACCTTGTTTGTGAGTTTCCTTATACCTTTTTTATTAAAGAGATAAATGAAAAAAACGTATTGCACCATTATGTTCTCTTTTTTGTCCCTGAGTGTACTGCATGCTCTCATGGAGGTATGAGAAAGAGTGGAGAAGTTCATCATAAGAGCTTGGGCTGCAAAGTTGTTTGGCTGTGATTATTATTATCTGGAAGTATCTGAAACATCACCATATCTATTTGGACATCGGGTTCATTGCTCCCAGAGCACAAGCGTTGTTGCTGGTTTATAATCTGACCAGCCATTAGCTCTGGTGAGTTCATTTAATCTCCTTTGGTGGTGGATTTCTCACAATTGGTTCAAGTCACTGAAGATATATATATTTTTTTGGACACTAATTTATGTTTGGACACTATAATTTATTTAAAACACTAATGTTTTTTGGATGATGATATACACTTTTGTATAAGTTTGTTATTAGCGCATACCTTTTAATTTGGATTATTGTTGCCAAAATTTATTTTGGGTGGGATATGCTGCTGACACTTTGGTGTTTTTTGTAAGTGGCGCTTTTTTCTTTTTTAATTTGGTATTGGATCAAAAAAGCATTGATCTAGTGCTTTAAAAAAAAAAAAAAAAAAAATGGCCGGAACCGGAAGTGACATTGTTCCGGTCCTCCAAGGGCATAGAGATGTGTGGCGGCCATCATTCCTTCACCCATCTCTATGCCCAGTGCTAAAATCGATGGTTTTTCAGGTAAGACTGAATTACCGAGGACGGCTTTGAGGGGCAGGGTTTTTTCGGCACCCGTATCGGCGCTTTTTTTTTTTACTCAGCCGATAGCCGAAAGGGGTGTTTTCGGCCGAAATGCTTCAGCCACCGGAATTTCGGTGCATCCCTAATAATTTTGAGAAAAAAAATATGGTATTATGAATAAAAATTTAAAGAAAAAAAAAGGTGCATCCCATATACAGGAGTATACATGCTCCCTTTACAACTACAGTGCAACTCTACCGGTGTAGGGCCCTACTTTACTTTCACAATAGCAAACAGAGCATGCTGAGCAGACAGGAGCTGCTGCCTCTAAATCAGCCCCCATACACACCTGAGTGGTTTGGTTTGCGATTCCTGAAGCGCATCAACACTCAAGATGAACAATCACATCATTCTCAATCACATACAACTGTTCATACCTGTGCATCACCTGTTACCTCTCACATGATGCTCGAAAAAGTAGCCAAGCCTTTTTGGGGAAGAATCACATGTTTGCCCATAGACTTCAATAGGAGTGCCTGAAGGACTCAAGCCATTTTAAACGTCTATGGGGCCAAAAACACTTCATTCTGCTCCTGTACTACAAGTGCAAAGTAAGTCTCTAAATCACCTTGCTACGCTCATGTATTGGTAGGTACTCTCATAATTGAAAAAAACCCTCCTTTACTGCCCAAAAAACCACTTACATCCAGAGCATGCTGAGTGGAGAGGTGGTGTCATAGTAAGCAAGCTGCTGATAGTTGGCACAGAGATGCTTGACTATTCATTCCTCATGCTTGGACAATGGGACCGTGCTGTCAAATTACCAAGCACAGGAAATTTTGGATTATACTACCACTGTGCATTCATGTAACAGTGTGGTGAATGTATTTTGTTCTTCACACTTTATGTTAAGGCTAAAAAAAAGTGTTTTTCCACATTAGCTGGTTATTTCTTCTTAATTTGGTAACTTGAGGCTTATTGAGATAGTATTAGTTTCAGTGGTGAGAAGCACTAAAATAGTTGTAACTAGCAGTAACTTTTGCCTCGTTTTCTACCCAAACAATTTTTATCTTCTTTGTGAGATTGTAATGTACAGCCCTGGCCAAAAGTTTTGAGAATGACACAAATATTAATTTACCTGCAAGGAAACACGTGCAGTCATCATTGCTTTGCACAAAAAGGGATTAACAGGCAAGATATTGCTGCTACTAAGACTGCACCTAAGTCAACCATTTATCAGATCATCAAGAAATTCAAGGAGAGAGGTTCAACTGTTGTGAAGAAGGCTTCAGGGTGCCCAAAAAAAGTCCAGCAAGCACCAGAACCATCTCCTAAAGTTGATTCAGCTGCGGGATTTGGGCACTACTAGTGCAGAGCTTGCTCAGGAATGGCAGCAGGCAGGTGTGAGTGCATCTGCATGCTCAGTGAGGCAAAGAGTTTTGGAGGATGGCTTGGTGTCAAGAAGGGCAGCAAAGAAGCCACTTCTCTCCAGGAAAAACATCAAGGACAGACATTCTGCAAAAGCTACAGGGATTGGACTGCTGAGGACTGGGATAAAGTAATTTTCTCTGATGAATCCCCTTTTTGCTTGTTTGGGGCATCTAGAAAAAACTTTGTCCAGAGAAGAAGAGGTGCGCTCTACCATCAGTCCTAACAGTAAAGCATCCTGAGACCATTCATATGTGGGGTTGCTTCTCAGCCAAGGGAGTGGGCTTACTCACAATTTTGCCTAAGAACACAGCCATGAATTAAGAATGGTGCAAAAACATCCTTCGAGAGCAAGTTCTCCCAACCATCCAAGAACAGTCTGGTCACGAACAATGCCTTTTCCAGCACGATGGAGCAACTTGCCATAAGGCAAAAGTGATAACTAAGTGGCTTGGGGAACAAAACATTGAAATTTTGGATCCATGGCCAGGAAACTCCCCAGTCCTTAATCCCATTGAGAACTTGTGGTCAATCCTCAAGAGGCAGGTGAAACAACCCCCCCCCCTCCAAATTCTGACAAACTCCAAGTATGGATTATTTAAGAATGGGTTGCCATTACTCAGGATGGGGCCTAGAAGTTGATTGACAGCACACTAAGGCAAATTGCAGAGGTCTTAAAAAAGAAGGGTCAACACTGCAAATATCGACTCTGCATAAACTTAATGTAATTGTCAATGAAAACCTTTGACACTTATGAGATGCTTGTAATTATACTTCAGTATATCATAGTAACATCTGAAAAAAGATCTAAAAAGACTGAAGCAGTAGACTTTGAGAAAATTAATATTTGTGTCAGTCTCAAAACTTTTGGCCAGGGCTGTATATCATAACTAATTTTCTCTCAAATATCAAAAGAAAGAGCTTTGTTAAAAGTATTTAAAAATATGTACACTCAATCACTAAAATGTTATGTAAACCATATGTTATGTAATATCAAAGTATTGTCTCAATATTAAATCACCAGCTTTCTTTAAATATACTGCCCAGTGAGCTTGCTATGAAAGTTTGTTTCACGAACATCCTGTCCGTTTCCCCAATGCTCTCCTACCTTGTCACCCTGTTACAGAGGCTTACAATAAATACTAACAAGTGGCAGTGTCAACACACATTACACAGGTAGGGTCCACTGTTGTCACCAATAAGAAACCCACCCTGAGAAATGATATGCAACCATCATTGGAGTGCATGTGGACTGAAAAAGGCTGCAAACAGAAAGTAGCAGCGCAGAGATGCAAAAAAAAAAAAAAAAAAAAAAAAAAAACCCCATGCTAGCACATTTATAAAAGACATACCCAAAACAAAGCCCTCCAGTGCCATGTTGTCACCACTGATGCCATGTTGTCACCACTGACAGGGCTTTCATCTTCACTCGGTCTTCCTTCTAGGTTCACAGGTTCCGGCAGCTTGATTAGCCAAGCCACGAAGACGTCACTCCCATGGGTGTCAGTCACGGTCGTGGCACAGAGCTCCGGATTGACGGCACATTCACTGTGTCTTCAATTCAGAGTGCAGTGCAGTGCATGCTCCGGTGACATAACTGGCTGCAAAACAAGCAAATATCTCCTAAACGGAGATAGGAAGTATTAATTTTACCTACAGGTAAACTTTTTTTATACGCTTACCAGTAGGTAAAAGTGACAAAGTGGAGATTACTATCGCTTTAAGATACACAGTGCTTAAGCAAACTAAAAGCACAGTAGCTTAGTGGTTAACATTTCTGCCTTGCAGCAATGGGGTCCATTTGAATCCCAGTCAGGGCACTATCTGCGTTGAGTTTGTTCTCCCTGTGCTTGCGTGGGTTTAATCCATGCTCTAAAGACATACTGATAGGGCCGTATATGTATATATAAATAGTATATGTAAGCATGTACTGTATGTATGCATACAATGTAGGGACCATAGAATGTAAGCTACTTAAAGGAAAGGGACTAATGTGAACATCCGGTATAAACAAAGTGTTGCATAAATTCCCAGCACACTATAAATGCCTGTAATAAATAAAAATAACAATATATTTTTTTAAGGTATCCATCTACCTTAATTAAAAATTTCAGTTCGAAAAATAGTTGAGAAGTTATATTAGGAAGCATAAATGTGTTAAACAATTAGGAAAACATTATGTGTGACAAAAAAGTCAGCTTCAGTCTAGGGGTGCCTTGCTCCCAGCATTCCATCTACTGGTTAGGTTTAAGTCAGGACAGACATTGACGTTCATCTTGACCTCAGTTGTCACTACATTGTAACTGCTGAAAGCAAGCACTGTATCTGCAATGTGCATTCAGCTTAGAAACCAAGGGACATTCAGCACAGATAATCCTAATAGGGTATTTGACTGCATCCTCCCAGACAGAAGCACATGCCATATCTAGTGCATTACCACAGATCTTTCAGTAATTCTTGCAGTAGAAATTCATAAAATTTAAACCAATCGTCGCCTGCAATTAAATAACTAAATTCTTCATGAATTATGTCTTAAGGCCACAGCTGGAGATGCACATTTTAATATTGCACAGCCCTCTGCAACCTTCCTCACATTCACGGATAGTGGGTAGAAAAAGGGGATTTAAAGAGGGCAGTGAGAAATAAACAGAAAAGGGGGGAGGGGGACAAAAACCAAAGGATAGAAGAGAAAAAAGGGTTCCCACATAATCACGGAGGGGGCCCAAATAAATTGCACCCCTCCCACCATCCATTCTGCAGAGCAGGAGAGGTTTTGGGTGTTCTCTTGGTATTCCCTGATCTAATTATTTACTGCTCTGTTGTAGAAATGTAATTTATTTGCAAAGTAATGCCTACTCACTGCACAACAAACAGATTACCTGTGTATGAATACTGAACTAAGGCCCACAGCGCGTTAGGTTCAACACCTTCCATTTTAATTTCCTCTTGCTTGGCTTCTCGAACATCACTGGTAAACATTGCAGCAAAATAGTCTGACACCGAAGACAGGACAAGCCTGAAAAAAGTCAGATTATTGGAAACATTTTATTCAGTCTTCAGAATGCAATAACTAATTCATTTTACATCTGACATCTGTGTGCCAAAACTACTAATGCTGATGCATTATTTAATACACCTTTCCGACAAATGCTTGAAGGAGCTGCTCTAAATCATCATAACTTGAAAGCAATGAAAGGTTGTTATTATTTGGTTGGTAATAAAGCACCATGTGGTGACAGAAGTAAGGAATTTGCATCAGTGCAGTAAAAAAAATAACATCTTTACATAACTGTTCAACAATATTGACAAAAAAGGTCATATTAAATATAAATGAAATTAGGGATAGAAGTTTGTTGGGTCCACTCTAAGAAACATTTTTTTTTTTTTAATAAGAGGGCCTTGGATAAGAGTCATAGTTTGCTAAATTGAAACGTGAAGTAGGTTAAAGTGGAATTCCAGCCTTTAAGTGGTTCTAAGGGCTGAAGGTTTTTTTACCTTCATGCATTCTAAAAAAACCTTCAGTGTTTAGCTCCCAACTCAGCCCCCAATACCTACCCGAGCCCTATCTCGATTCAGCAATGTGCATGAGAGCATCAGCTCTCCTGGGTCTCTCCCTCCTCATTGGCCATCAGCTCCTGCTGCTATCAATCACAACCAGTGAGCAGGGGCCAAGCCGCACTCTCTGACTTATAGACACAGCTTGCCCAGAGGCCATATAGTAGGTGGGAGGAGGAGCAAAAAGGCCAGGAGTGCCGTCAGGGGATCCAAGAAGAGGAAGATTGGGGCTGTTCTGTGCAAAAAAATTGCACAGAGCACGCAAGTATGACATCGTTGTTATTAGAAAATAATGCAGTGCCATTGGCTGACAAAGGGAACATAATGTGACTGGACCGGAGCAAGCTGAAAGTAAGTAGGCAAGTATACAGATCTTTCTTAAAATGATACTAAAGGTTCCGTTTTTTGTTTTTTTTTTAACAACAAAAATGTCATACTTACCTGCTCTGTGCAATGGTTTTACACAGAGCAGCCCTGATCTTCCTCTTCTCTGGTCCTCTCTTGGCACTCCTGGCCCCTCCCTCCTGCCAAATGCCCCCAGTTCAAGCAGCTTGCTATGGGGGCACCCAAGCAGGCTCACTCCCGAGCTGCTGCTCTGTTAATTCACACAGAGAGCCATGGGTCAGCTCTACCCCGCCCCCCCTCTCTCTCCTCATTGGCTCACTGGCTGTGATTGACATCAGCAGGAGCCACTGGCTCAGCCAATGAGGAGGGAGAGTCCCCAGAGAACCAAGGCTCTCATGCACACTGCTGGAAAACGATGGGGCTCAGGTAACTATTGTGGGGGTTGCTGCACACAGGTGTTTTTTTTTTTCTTACCTTACTGTATAGAATGCATGAAGGTAAAAATCTTAAGCCTTTACAACACTTTAACCTGCAGGGGGAGCCACCTTTTTTTTTTGTTTCATTTATTAGACTTTGCTACCGCTTTAAAATCGGACCTTGCACCCAACTGCCGGCTTAGCTTTTACATTAGTTGTCTGCCAGAAAAAAAAAAAAAAAAAAAAAAAAAAAAAAAAAAATCAAAAAACAAAAAAAATGCACACTTGCAAAAAAGTAATAAAAAATATAAATATATACTTAAAAAAGGCAAAACTTTTTTTTTTTAAGATCTGGATAGAATGGTGAGGGGGTCAGGACCACTAACAGGTTTTTATTGCCGTTTGTGTCCCTATGATGAATATTACTTAAAATGTCCTTGATCACTGCAAATGAAAGTGGGTGTACCTCAAAATTTTGAGTTGCCATCAGAAAAGGAATAGAGAGAAAATCTTCCAATGGGGACACGTTACTGCGCCAACTAAGAGAGGTATCCCTTACATAGGAAAGTTTTCCTCACACTTCCTTGGGATCTACAGGAGAGGTAGTAAAGGAAAATCACCACAATGAGACACAAATGGCAAGGCAACCCCCCCCCCCCAAAATGATTCTTCTATCTTCTGAGATAGTCAATGTTCCAAAGGCTCGCCGGAAGGATTGTGATGTCACCTTCTCCTGACTGTAAACTGGGTGTAAGTTAAAGTACATCTAAAGCCAAAACTTTATTTCTTCGTTTTTATTTCACCTGTTTGCAATAGCCCTAGTGTGCATGGTCTTAAGTAGACTGGTGAATTACAGCCAATGTACTGAAAAAAACTTAATAGATAGAAATCTGAAAGTTAATATCAACTTTACAGCTCTAATGTATGTATGAAACTATACATATTTGAATTTCCTCATGTCAGGTTATTTACAAGAAAATAATTTAGTGAAAATATGTAATATTAATTATAGAAAATATATTACGCAGTAACTCTTTCGCTATCAGATTTTTTTTTATTTCTCATTATTTGCAAACATTTCAAAATGTGCATTTTTGGTCTTATGAATAATGGAAAGCAGAACGCCTGTAGAATAAAAAAAATAGTTGCAAATGTTTATCTAGCACAACATTATTTGCACAACTGCTTATCAAACCTATATTTTTCAGTAAAAAAAAAAAAAAAGGACTACAATTTTAGTTCACACAAACACAATGAAATCTTACATTTTTCATATCAAAGATGTCAAGTCTAAAAATCAGCAAACATTGTCCACAGGCAACTTATTTTGGTATTTTGGGGTTAATTTAAAATGTAAAGTACCAAGTAAAGTACCAAATAAAAGCAGCATATGTGCTTAAAAGCGGGTGTGACATTATATTTTAACCAAGGTAGGTAAAAGTAAAAGGTTATTGCTGGGCAAAACTTTGAATACCAAAGCTTCACAATTTTGTCCGATCACAAAAAGTTTATATTACTCCTTGATATGGAAAGGCTAAAACTGAAATCCTAGCAACATTTTTTAAAAACGTGATTGATATATATATAGTGCTCAGCATAAATGAGTACACCCCAACAGATTTTTATCAGAAAACCTTTACTTTCCTTTCAGAATCAACATTTTCTATGGGACGCTATACTACAAAATATTCCCACAAATGCAGGCCATTGGTTGCAAACAAGATTTGTTAATTTGTACACACAAAAAAAGTAATTTTCCGAACAAATTAATTCAAGACCATGTTGCAAAAATGAATACACCCCAATGAAAGTCTTAGGAGCAAAGCTAAATTTTAGACCTCAAAATCCTAATTAACAAGAATTTAACTACTGTACAGATGAGTCAAGTTATTCATTAAACAGGTGTCCAGCAGACAGTTGATTATAAAAGGGCATTACTTAACAAAGAAAACCTCCCATTTCATGCTGCTAGCAATGGTACCACATGGAAGAGAAATGTCACAAGGCCCAAGAAAGAAAATAATTTCTTTACACAAAAAAGGTGAAGGCTACAAGAAAATCAGCAAAGCTTTGCTTATCAGTCAGAATACTGTAGGAAAAGTGATACAAAAATTTAATGAAGATGGAACTGCAACCATCTCACAGAGACATCCAGGCCGTCCACAGAAGTTAAAACCTCGACAGGAGCGTCATCTGATGGGAAGGGTTAAAGAAAATTGCCATGTAAGTTCACTGTAGTTAGCTAAAGAAGTAGAAAGCCAAACTGGGGGTGATTGTTTTCTGAGATACAATATGGCGTACACTGAAGAGGAATGGCATGCATGGGTGTTGTCCATGAAGGAAGCCTCTCCTAAAGCCCACACACAAAAATTCTGGTCTACAATTTGCCAGGGCCCATGCTGAAAAAGAAGAAGAGTACTGGGACTCTGTACTCTGAAGTGATGAGACCAAGATAAATGTTTTTGGAACTAAAGGCTTCAAAAATGTATGGTGTTGCAAAGGTGAGGAGTATAAAAAAAAAAATGCATCGTGCCTACAGTGAAACATGGTGGTGACAGTGTCCTTCTGTGGGCCTACACGAGTGCTGCTGGTGTCGGGAGCTGCATTTCACTGATGGTATCATGAATTCACAGATGTACTGCTCTATATTGAAAGAAAAGATGCTACCATCACTCCGTGCCCTTGGTCATCATACACTTTTCCAACATGACAATGATCCAAAACACACATCTAAGGCAACTGTTGCAGTTCTAAAGAAGAACCGGGTGAAAGTGATTCAGTGGCCAAGTATATCTCCTGATCTGAACCCAATCGAACACCTATGTGGAATTCTGAAGAGACAAGTTGAGCATCACTCTCCATCCAGCATCCAGGCTCTAAAAGAGGTCATTCTTGAAAAATGGAAAAAGAAAGATGTTGCAATATGTCCAACTTGTTCATTCCATGCCTAGAAAACTCGGTGCTGTCCTTACAAATTATGGAGGTCATACAAAATACTAAATATAGTAGTTTTTTTGTTGTGGGGTGTATTCATTTTTTAATCAACTAATTTGAGTAAAACTGAAGATTTTTTAAATCTAAGTTATATTATTAACCTTACTGTCATGTAATGACCTAAACCAATGCTCTATAGAACTTTTTTTTGGAAATTGTTTTTGTGTTCATTGGGTTATTAATTAAAATCTTGCTTTTCAAAAGGGGTGTACTCATTTATGCTGAGCACTGTGTATATTTTATTTATATATATATATATATATATATATATACACACACATACATACATACATATACTGTATATATGCCTCTTGCCATCTCAATACTGCACAACTTAGAATGAGAGAAGGTGAGGCTGTATAATAATAAAAGAAAAAAACACAATCAGCTGTGCTGCACTGCTCTAAGTCCTCTTGCACACTGGAGCTTGTAAAAAAGGTCAGTACAGCATTTTTTTTTAAATGATCTAAAATACAGTCAATTGTTTACAATGTGCCTGTACATACCGAAGCATAAACAAGTGATGTGTATTCTTGAATAAAAAAATAGAAAAATGTGCATTCAGTATTTTGCGCCGCTACATACAAACGCATGGAAATACATATATAATAATATATAAATATTAATGGGCTTTGCCTAGGAATGTATTGTATGCACAAATATGTGCAAAGCAGAGCCTGAAATGACATCCAGAAATGCTGATGCTAAAACATCAGTACCATTTATAAGAGGAACAAGGAACCTACTGACAGCAGGAGAGAGCAATGTAGCTCATCCTATGAGATGAGCTCATCAGTCAATTGCTTCTTCACTGTCCAATTACAGGCTGGGGCAGGGACAAGACTTAATTGTATTACTTTATTGTAGTACAGAAACATCAGGTCTCCTTCCTGCTTCTGGCAGGGCTGTGTCACACTTTATTTGGGCCCATTTGCAATTACCCATGGCAGACTACATGGGGATCCACGCGAATAGGTGCAAGTAGGAAGCCGCACTGAATGGAAGTACGATAGTACTGACAGCTATTTGTGGACATTCGCATGTAAATTGCTCATGTAGCGATTACCTGCAAATATTGATCATCCCTGGACACAAACTTCCTGTATCCAAGACAAATCATCTTCAGGTAATTGCTGCTGCATGAGAGATTACGTGCTAATGTCAGCAAACAGCCAGGGGTGCTGTCAGGCTTCTATTGCCTTCAATGGGGCTTTCCACCTGCACTTATTCGCATAAGTGGGTAATCACAGTTGGCCGCATTTGAAAGTGTGAATGGGGCCTAAATCTCAGCAATGGTGCCCGTAGATTCTCCCCTTCCATCATCTTAGGGCAGTGTTATAAAGATAAAGTAAATCTGACTAGTTGCTAAGGAGGAGCAATATTAAGGCTTTTTGAAAAAAGCAAGCTTCTGCTATAACCCACAGGAAATAGAAGTGAGATTTCACACATCTGACTCAATCTGATATACAGACTGCCAAGCACTGTCCACTGTGTGAACCATTTCTGCCACCTGCACCATTTTCATTGATTACATTTTTATGACTTACCTGTGTGCAGGAATCCTGCGATCGCCAGCGATCAGAATCACGTCACACAGTTGCTTGTGCCGGAGGTAATTCTCCATCTTCTTAAAGGTTTGCTGCTCGGCATGGTTGAGGGACTGGAAGCATTCATCTTGGGCACATGACTCCATTGTCTGGCAGGATGATATTGTTTGGCTGCTGTTCGAAGTCCTTAAGGAACAAATATCACATGTTTTTATTTACAGGACATCTAACTTGCAGAAAGCAACAAAAGATGATTTAAAAAAAATTGTGAATCAAGCAGGGAGCTCCACTACTCATAAGAATAAGGAGACATATTTAATGTGTTACTGTGGAATGCCTGCATAATGGGTTTTCATTTGTGTCATTTGAAAAAAAGATAAGAAATCTCTGAAGACATTTGGCAGAACAATGCACAAATGTGGATTTTATTTGATTAAGGGCTGGTTCACACTAGCTGCACAGAAAAAACGTTCCATGAAGCCCAACTCTGGGCAAAAGCCTGTCTCCCTCAAACCCATTGTAACCCCTCCTGCCAGGTGTTTATTTTTTCATGCCTAGTGAAGCAAATATACCCACCCAAATCCCAATTCAGCTCCTTCACTGATGGCATTTTGGGTTGGGTCGCTTTCCTGGCACCACCATCATTCATAGAACACCTTTTATTTTTTCAAGGTGTGCTCTGACATAAGCAATACAAGTAATTCCTGGAGTTCACCTTTAAGTGATATTACAAGTTGGTTCAAACTTCTCTCTACATTTAAACACCTTATTTTCCTAGACTATGTACATTGCTAGAAATCATTTTTAATCCTCCCAGTGGATGGTTACAGTTAATTATGCACTACTTGTCCCTATCACGATTTGCATTTTAAGTAATTTCTGGAAAGAGCCAACTAATGCCATACCAGTTCAGACTACCAGAGTACTTTTGAACAGTGCATTTTCACTGGATCTGCATTCATGTATATAGTAGGTAGGTATGAGCTTCAGGTCCAGGTCACTCATGTGTTTGGACAGTTTACCCGCCCAAATCCCAAGCTTCTGGAATGTAAACAGGGCAGCTGTGGATCACAAACATATTTTATTTACCAAATATGCTGTTCTTTAAAGCTCTATTAACCCCAAAACTAAAAATGTTATAAACTGAAACTTGCCAATAGATGTGATGGCAGCATGTTTTTTCTTTTTTTTTTTTAGTTTTTTTTCCCTGTTTTCACCTGGTGATCTGGCCAGTAACACACCTTCTGTATTAGAGTGCCCCCACTCTGGATGAAGAAGCACAGGGGCACCTTTGGACAGCAGAATTGTCAGTCTGGGGGAGGGAAGCGTTAGAATGACACTGAAATTGAAGCCAAACTCCAGCTCACACTGCAGTTACAGCAAACAGGTTTTTTTGGGATAAAAATTTTACATGAATAAATAAAAGCTGATCATTGTAAACCCCCATCAGTGGTACATGGTTTGTCTCATCACTCTGATACAACTGTAAGAGTGCTTGTTCTGTTGAAAAACAACAGACTTACTGGCTGGAACACCAGGTGAAATTAAAGCCTGAAAAAGAAAACTAATACAGCCATCACATCTAAGGCTTAAAAGGTACATTATAAAGAATGTTTTCTTTTTGGTTTAAGGGCTGGTTCACACCATGCCTGCACAGGAACAGGCCATGCATTTCTGTGCAATTTATACACGGTTTTGGTGCAGTGCGATTTCAGGACATTCATTTTGCATGCACCACTTCTAGAAATGCACTGCAACCGGATCGCATGTTACTTTTGTACCATGCAGTCCGGTGTGGGCAAACACACTGCATTCACAACTTGCATTTGGAGCGTCATTACCTTATTATTGACACCCTCTGCAGATTGCAAATGGACTGCGTTTTGAATGTAGTGTGAATCACAAAGGAACGTGGGACATGGTAGGAACCAGCCCTAGTACTGCTTTAAGGCACATTAAAAAGTACCTCTCTACAGTAAATGTATTTTTTAAAAAAGGTTTTGGTTTTTTTTTTCAATAACCAGCTACTCATGCCCTGTTTTAAAGCTGAACTTTTGGGGGGAAAAAAACCCTTTCAGTGGGGCTCTCCCTGCAAAGATAAAGTTTTTGCTAAGTCTAGGGTACAAGCAAAAAGGACTTTTAATTACCTTATCAGTAGCTTCCTTGGCAGACGGCGCTCAACTCTCCTCCCTGATGCTCTTGCCTATAGCCAGTGTTCAGTATCCTCACATACGGTTCAGAGCTATTGTCCCTGCATTGTACTTGATAACATCAAAGTACCTGCAACCGCCGGAGCTCCACAGAGAAGAGGCTGTAGCAGCTGATCTTATAGCATGGAGGGATACCGTGAGAGAGAGGGATTAGGCAAGTAAAAATCCTTTTAACGTGTATCCTGGGCATTAAGGAGCATTTAACTCTTGCATTATGGGGGAGCCTCACTGTAAGAACACAGTTTCCCCTTGAGTTTAGCTTTAAACAATAGCTTGCAAATTAGCTGTGAGCTGTGGGTTGTGAAATGGGCAGAATAAAATAGCAAGGTTCAGCTCTCAAAGACTATTAGGTTTTGGCCCAATACACAGGGATGTGTGGACTTCCCTCTGGATTCACTGAACCTCCTATGAACCAAACCTTGCCTGGTTTGCTTATCCCCAGCGATAGGGATAGAAGTAGAAATGAGCCTTAGAGCTGGTATTGACTGCCTATGGTCTTATAAAAATGGGAAATGGGTAGTTGACCTCTGATTTGCTTCAAGCTTCTTTTTCTTGTATGGGAAGAGAAGCAGTTCTGAAATAACAAAGCCTGTCAACACAGGCCTTTATACTGTTGCAAATCCAAATAAATGCTTTTCAGGTCTTACACTGCTGGTTTGAGCAATCATGACAGTCAATATACAGTCTGGTGGATCAGGCAGATTTATGACAGCGTGCTCTTCTAATATCTCTTCTGTGGTGTGCAGGTTTAATGAGCTGAAACGTTAGGTTTGCTCACGCTTTCCAACTATCAGTGATTTCCAGGGACAAGTTATGAAGATTTATCCCTGGAAAGGATTCCTCTTTCTCACCATTTATCAAATATCCAATACAGCTTGAACACAATGACTGGTCCTCCAACCTACAAAGGCTGTAAGATTAAAGCTGCCTAGTTACTGGCTCCTAATGTTTGAACTGCTTCCTAGATTTTGAAAATATCTTTCCAGGACTGTAGCAAGAAGGGAAGAGGACTTCTTTCAACTTCCCCCAACCTTCTGCAACACAAAGCAAATAACCGATTGAATCAGTGAGGGTTATAAATAACCATCTTCAGTTTAAACTCCAAAGCATCCACAGAAAAACCATATTTGGTGATAAACAATTCTGATCCACATACTCTGTGAACAATTAAATTACTTTCTTGCCACTATTTTTTTCAAAATCATTATTGTGATCATAAAACACACAAAGCTGTCAAAGCATTTTATAGCCAAAGCTGTAATATACTTGGTATACAATTGCCAAAGGAACATTATGCAGAGAGAATTGCTTCAAAGTCAGGACAATAACAACTTAACATAAGTCTGGATATCATTTATTTCCGATTGAGGGCAGCTTTTTCACTCTACAAAAGGAAAATGCTCTCTCAGAATATATAGAAGGGCATATTTTTGATATTTAAAAGGGAACTGCCTATATTACAATTCCCCACCAAATATTCTTACAATACCACTTTGTAATATACAACTTTAAAAAAAAAAAAAAAAGACCCCTTTGTTGTCCTGGGATGTCCTCCTTGACAAGGTATGGACAGCATGATATAAGTAGCTGAGTATATGTATATTATTATTATACAGTATTTATATAGCACCAACAGTTCGCTCAGCGCTGTACATTACAATGGGAGACAATACATGAGACAGTACAATAACAATACAATGCGATACACAAGGGGTTCGAGGACCCTGCTCCTTGGAACTTAAAATTTAGGAGGGAGGGGATAGTGGTACGAGAGGAAAAGCTGTGGGGGATGGAGTGGTAGGAAGAGTGGAGGAGATCGGCAATTAGCAGAGGGCGGGGTAGGCTTCCATGAAGAGGTGGGTTTTCAGGGTGCGCCTAAAGGAGAGGAGAGTAGGTGATAGTCTGGATTGGGGTAAGGAGTTCCAGAGGATGGGTGATGCCCTAGAGAAGTCCTGGAGGTGGGTGTGGGACGAGGAGACCAGGGAACAAGAGAGAAGGAAGTCTTGTGAAGAGTGGAGAGTGCGTTTTGGGTGGTATTTGGATATTAGGTCGGTGATGTAGTTTGGGGCAGAGTTATAGACAGCTTTGTACGTCAGTGTTAGCATTTTGAATTTGATCCGTTGGGCAATCGCAAGCCAGTGGAGGGATTGGCAGAGGGGGGGGGGGTGGCGGAAACGGAGCTGTTGTTGAGGTGGATGAGTCTGGCCGCCGTATTCAGGATCGATTGAAGAGGGGATAGCCTGTGGTGAGGCAGGCCAGTGAGGAGGGAGTTGCAGTAATCGAGTTGTGATATGATGATGGAGTGGATGAGTTGCTTAGTAGTTTCTGGGGTTAGGAATGGGCATATTTTGGAGATGTTGCGGAGGTGGAGTCTGCATGAGTTTGTTAGAGATTGGACTTGGGGCTGGCTCTTTAAGTCTCAAAATCCAAAATCCGCTGTTAGCCTAAAATAGTGTACATGGGCATATAGGATCCACAAGGCTGGGCACAAATTTTCCAAAATCCTGTGGAAAACATTTTCAGAAAATTTGATCATATAATGTATATGGCAAATGTTGAATCAATACACATTTTTCTCTCTCTGTTGCGTTTGTGAAGTGCTAAACACATAGCCCACCAAATTGTACTCAGATGTATTGTATGTATTCTAAAAGGATACTAAATAATGTAGATAGCACTGAGGACTGGAATGCACACTGAATACTTTCAGGCTGTCAAATGTACCATTACATCAGAATGAATATAATACTGCCCTGCGTACAGAGATGGTCCAAATGAAATTGATGTCGTAGTTAGGCTCCATAAACACTAGCATTTTTTTAAGCTAAAAAAAATGCTAGAAAAAATGCTGGATAAAAACCACTGGTAATAGCGTTTTTAGTACCATTTTAGTTGTAACTAAATCAATATTCACCCTTCCCCTTTATAATCCCTCA